TCATATATCGAATAGAATCGGCATCATTTGAAATCGGCTCTAAACGAGGTCAACCCCGGCCACGCAAGCTGGGAAACTTATCTAAACTTGGTTAATCTCGTAATCCGTAGCTCCAACAGCAGCGGGTGGGTACACTGAAAATCCATTTTGTAATAGATCCCACACTCTATCCGATACAAGCCAAACCAATTACGGTATGTCGTTAATAAACTTATTCAGGATCGAAAGAGTCAAAATGAGATTAAATAACTATTTTTAGAGTAGTTTTTTTAGTGGTGGTAGGACCTCGCGTGAGTCTACCTTGGTAGGTACCACCCCAACTATTTTTGCTTAATGGTAATGAGGGGTAACGCATCCGAGGATGGTAGGGAAGCTCTGGGCTCAACCAGCTTGTTAACTAACTCGATGTGTTCAAGGTCCGCGGCTTGGGCACTGGCGTGGTTCAACCACTATTTATTTTTATATTATAGCTCATTGTAGCAATTGTGCTTGAAATTGCCTGCTTAATCAAGATATCACATGGTATAGTTATCATTCCGTTACACTAATTTTTAAACAATTAATTATAAAAAAAAACTGCGAACATTTACATTAATTTGATGATGTTTGATGTTCCTTAGTTCCTTAGTTTGTGAAAGCATCGTAAACTGTAAATATCTTATTTATGGTACCTAACTACAACTGAACGGGAATTTACTGTATCATAAAATCGTATCGCACGATCGTACGCTTTCAAATTGTGCATCACAAAGTGATTATAGCGTACGATTTTGTTATTATTAAGCAAGTTTTCGACCACCGTATAAATTTTGTTTTGTGGCGATTTCATCTGTCCATAAATGCTGATTTTTTATTCATTCAATATTTATGTTGTATTTATTTATTCGATCGCGTAATTTCCGCTCTTCAATCGAGGCAATTATCTTATTTGCATTGTTAACATTATTACAATAAAACCTATAGTAAGTTGTCAGTAATATGCCTCGTATTAGAATATTATTTTATATATAGAAACGGGCCATGACAAAACAGTTAAATGCCTTTTTTATGATCAGTACGTAAACAGTTTAATTCTTATTTGAATCTATTAAAAGTGAGGAAATTGGTCCTTTTATTAACATTTTTTTTAATAATACATAATAATATCATCTAAGCGTTGAGATATTAACGACTATAATCGAATTTCGATTATTGAGCGGGCACTAAGTATATTAAAACCTTTATTTTTCTAATCTTTATTTTTCTTTATTTTCGAATTTTTATACATGTGTATTCCGAACGATTCACAAGGCGCTTGCGATAGTTAAAACACAATGAACGATGAACTGCCCGTGTCTGTGTCTCAGCTAAAATTTACGATGAAAAGTCATAACCACATACGTCATTCCGGTGAAATATTTGGTTTACGTACAATGTTCACGCTGGAACGATGAAATAATTTACTTTCTGACTACAACCGGTCTGCCGGCGGCGGTAGGTAAACGATTCTAGAGATAGCTCATTATATCCTATGACGTTGAATTATATCTGGTTGGTTTCTAATGAATCATGGAAGCTTAAAAATTTTTTGTAATCGTGCTTCGTTTTGTTAAAACGAGAGACGCCAAAATAAAGCTTATTACAATTGAATTGAATTAATGATTGAATGAAGGAGTATATAAAAAAAAAACGACAGAAGATAAATTTTGTTGTGAATCGTTTGCTAAGCACTACATGTTAAAATAACAAATCTGTATCAATGTTTCTTTTCTAATTTCAAAACGGCATTCAAAGTTTTTTTTTTTAAATTGTTTTATATATTGTATATCTTTAAACGAGCAATTCTTGTTTATAAGTATACCTACATATATATAACCTGAATCTCGGAAACGGCTCCAACGATTTTCATAAAATTTAGTATACAGGGGATTTCGGGTGCGATAAATCGATCTAGCTACGATTTATTTGCAGAAAATGTTGTTTTATTCGTGTTTTCAATAATCAACTTTATCGATAATTTTGATTTTATTCTTTAAATAACCAGTTCATATTTTTTTTATTATTCTGTCGGTAAGATCTAAAATTATTATTTATATTTCATTATTTTATCAATATGTAATTCGTATTTAAATATAAATTTTAAAAAACAATATACCAACAAAAAAATACCGCGCAAAGCTCGGTCATTATCTAGTATTTATATAAATCGTGCACATTATTCACGCAGATAATACCTACAAATCGCGTGTAGGACACACAAAATCAAAGCTATTTTTAATTTTCGTGTAGCCTCCGATTAACTGAGATCATTTATGTTTCTGTAGTCCGTAATAAGATGAAATTTATTATTAATTAAATTTTAAACATCACCAGCTTTAGCTAGAAAAAGAAAACAGTGCGGTAGTAAAGTAAACCAACGCTAGTTAATGGATAAACTGAGTGAGCTAAAACAGAAGATGCCATAGAAAAAAATAAACGAAAATTTAGTTCGGCGTGAAGATTCGCGTGAATGTTCAAACATTTCACGTTTACACGTATATACAGTGGCCGTTCATTAGTCGTTTACGTTTAGTCGGTGCTATAAAATTAGGAACACCGCACCTATTTCTCAGTTCCTAACGGATCGCAACAAGAATACTGCGCTTATAATATAAAGGAAATACTGAAAAAATTTGCGTGATTTTTTTTTTATTTTTATTGCTTAGATGGGTGGACGAACTCACAGTCCGCCTCGTGTTAAATGGTTACTGGAGCCCATAGACGTCTACGACGTAAATACGCCACCCACCTTGAGAAAAGTTCTAAGGTCTAAAGTATAGTTACAACGGCAGCCCCACCCTTCAAACCGAAACGCATTACTGCTCCACGGCAGAAATAGGCAGGGTGGTGGTACCTACCCGCGCGGACTTACAAGAGGTCCTACCACCAGTAATTACGCAAATTATAATTTGGCGGGTTTTTATTTTTATTACACGATGTTATTCCTTCATCGTGGAAGTCAATCGTGAACATATTTGTTGAGTACATATTTCATTAGAAAAATTGGTACCCGCCTGAGATTCAAACACAACATCTGCAGATCAAGTCCCACTAAGCCCGCGGGCCCCCTAGACACGAAAAAATCCCTTTGGATGCTATAAAAATTTTGGGCGTGAGGTCGAGTTTCGTTTCGTGATCCGAATGCGAAGGGGGTACATGGAATATGTAGGACTGCCAAGGATTAGACCTAGTAAATTTCCCTGCACTCCCAACCGAAAGTCCGGGCCCCGCCCGAGAAAAGCTGTGGGAGAAGTAAGAGGGGGCGACCCTGGTCAACATTTAAAACCAGACACGTGGTCATCCAAAGGATGCGTGCCCGGCTGAGTCATCGAAGTAAATGACTCTGCGTTGGTCAACATTTTTGACAGCCCGTTAGGCCACACAGGTAGCCCTACTGTTGTCCCAAGTATCTTGCCAATGTCAGCTATACAAATCTCCAGGTTTGGGTAGCGCACCTCAATGTCTTCCCTAAGCCGTAAGCTAGTGAGGCCATAGGAGACGGAATGGGGTATAGTTAGACCGCGACAATCAGGTACATTGTCACCGCCACAAAGAGACCAGGCCTCTAATACAGTTCACTGAGATTAAAGTCTTCGCGCTTTCACAACACCAGAAATGGGACGCGCCTTCGCTTTTAGGTCACAGGCATACCAGCAAGAACGCACGCGGTATTGGTGAAGGCAGTGCGGATTCTCATTTTTTTTAATTAAACATGGCTGTGCTCTAAGGAACAATTCCCATGTTACAACCGATGTCTGACGAGCGACTCATATAATGACTAACTAACATCGTAGGTAAGAAATAAATGTAGCCCGCAAAATAAATTCGCATGAATACGAGTGGTGACGCCCATACTGTATAAACCCATATGGGTAGGTACTATCGTGCTTATAAAAAATATTGTGTGTGAGAAATTTAAAAAACAAATTACAAGGTTTTACAAACTATTATACTTTTTTTCAAATTCTTGTAAATTTAATTATTTTTTAATTACACTATTAATTTACGAACACATTTATATTACCAGAAAACAATGTTAAAAATAAAATAATTCTGAAATGAGAGTTTATAAGAACGTAAAAGCATTGTATCTGTGTTGGCAATTTTCCAATTTACAAGTATTCCAATCTAATGGCTTAAGTACTTGTCAATCCCCTCTTCACTTGAGAATGCGAGCCCTTGCAGAACAAAGAAACAAATTTGTTTCCATGATACCAAAGCCTTACTTAATCTTTGGTTTATTTATATAGGTATATATAGAAAATTTATTATTTTATTAACCGACTTCAAGGAAGGTTTTCAATTCGACCTTTTTATGTGTGTTACGTCAGAACCCTGTTCTAGATGAACCGATTTTGATGATTTATTTATTTATTTCAAAGTTCGTGCTTCTCATGTGGTTTTCATTAAATAGTTTTATCAAGTTCCGACTAGTTGTTTTAGAGTTACTCTTAATTATGCATATTTAGTTAACTCCGACTACGTTTATTACTTCTTATTTTGATTTGTTTCGTTGAAGTAGATTTTCTTTTTTGTTAAATTTTTGTTATAAATCATCATAGTCAGGAAAGTGGTCTCAGAACCAATCCTATGATCTTAAATGGTTCCAGTAACCGATATTATAATATTATGTTTTGTTTAAGGTAAGGTAAGGTTTTGTAAGGTTTAAGTTATGCAAAAAGTTAATAAAATGGTTTTGTGCTTTCTAGGATTATGCATACATAGATAAAACAAAACCAGTACGTATCTTTTTCTTTCCAACCTTATTAAACATTGGAAAACTATTCGTGCAATGTAACAAAAAACTAGTATATCAAAAAAACCGCAGTCCATCCAAACACAAAGTATGTTACACATTTTCTAGACATCTTAGGTGGTATGTCTCCAAAACTTAATATTATTATTATAATTTCAGTCAATAAATCATTTTCCAAAACAAAATACATATAGTTAGTTATATAAAGATAGTTTGCGCTACTTACATGTAGAATACGATCCCGTCATGTTACCAATATCTTGAGGTTTGGGTGTAGTTATCACGGTGTGGTTAACCGTAGTAATATTAGGATGGAACACATATCGGCAAATCGCCCAAACTCCAGAATCACTCCACATTAGGTAACCACCTCTGCCTGGTAAGGGAATACCTGAAAAAGATACTTTTAATGATGAATTTGCTTTAGAGAAGCCCCTTTTATATGGCAAAATAATATTGTTATTTTTGTGTCGATGGGCTTTAATACTGTTTATCTTTTACTTAATTCATTTTAATAAGGTTATCCGTAGATGGACATACTGGCAGCTTAATTCTTTTACATGATAACGGTAATTCTATAGCTCATTTCTTTGGTGTAGTGGCTCCTATATCTTTCTAGGCTTTTCGATGGGAATGTATAGTTTTTGCACGGCCTAAACTCAGGAGATAGCGGTATCGATTGAAATAAGGATAATGAAGATTTTAAGGAAAAAAAGTTTAAAACAATTAGCTTGTAAACAAGTAGACCGAGCAAAGTATATAAAAATTAATAGTGCAAATATTGCAACAGTAACAGAAGAATCTATCCCTCACTATTTCAAGTTATCCGACAAGACATATTTCGGCTTCGCGTTGCCCCGTCGCCTGAGTCGGATGTATAATTAGTGGCGGCCACGATAAGAGAGAGGGTTATCGTGTTCTGCCGCTTTCTCGAAGTAGAACTACGATTCTGTCAAATTCTGCACCGAAGCAGTCCAATCCAGTTTAAAAAGTAGAACAGTACTTAGACTTGGGCTTTCGTAACTATGCACCTAATACCAGATGGGTACTGAGCTCTGTAAACAGTGATGGAATTATAATGACGAACGGACAGGACAAGTTAGGTGTAGGATATTTTATATCAAAAACAGAAAAAACACAATTCGACCTCTGGCTAACGAGGATCACACAAACAAAGTATACCGTTGGAATTTAATTTTTTTTAACGAAACCTACAACTTCGTCCACGCGCGGATATTTGGAGTTGAAAAAGTTTGTTTCAAATTCAGGATCGGTTGAATATTGTAACTTGAAACTTTCCAAATTATAAATGAAATTTTGTGTAGTAAAATTTCTAAATAAATTTCAGTTGAATAATTAGTTACCTAATTAGTTGCCACATCCGATTACAAATTACGATTGGTAATTAGTATTCTATAAAAGACTGGGCTGGTGATTACTGACATATAAAAAATCCTAGCCAAATAATTATAATATTTTGATATGGAACGAGAGCTTTAAGCTAATTATTAGCTAGCTTTAAGCTCTCGTTTAACGCTTTAAATCAGGGTTGCGTTGCTAAAACAAAAATACGACATGAACAGGCGGGCCACATAAATTGAAAGCTTCAAGGAAAAAAACATGGATAGTTATGTTGAAATATGATCTTTATTACAAACACATTTGTGAATTTCCTTTTCTCTCTAGTGCGTTACTATTTTTAAATAATATTTGAGGGCCGAACAAACACAAAACGAGGGCCATGGTTTGAGCAGACCTACAAACGATTGAGGGTTTATGAAACATTAACTTCCTGACACGAGGAGAAGTTATTCTAATTATGTTAGCAAATAAATATTACTTTTCGTTACTACTCGTATATTTTATGGATACCTTCCATTCTATAATCCTATGAACTCTTGTAGGAGGCGTCCTCCCCCGGCGAAGGCTAAGGGGTGATCTGAGGGTGTAAGATTAGGCAAAGCACTACGAGCACTCCAGCAGGCTGCATGTTAGCAGTTATATGAAACTGAAGTTCTACGGAACTGCTGTAGAGAAGCGACCGAATGACGGTGTATCGCATTCTGACCCGACAGTCAAGTTCTGGCCCATCGGGGTAACTCGAGACGTTACCGGTAACGCATGGGGCGGCCAGTCGGGCTGCCTTAACGTGACGGCTGACTTAGATTTTCGACAACTTAACCGGTAGAGCGTGCTTGGGGTGAGCTGCGCGTCTGGTAGGGTTGACCGTGAGTAGCCCCCTTATCTTGCTCAGGTTCTGCTTGGGCGGTGATTGGGCTTTGAGCGAGAGTGCAGGGGAATCATTTCTTTATAATCTCCAGCCACCGTGTCCCGCTGCCCCTAGACGTGGAAACCTCGTAGGTCTAGCCCGAAAAAAAATTGTGTTTTACAGAATGACCGGTTTATTCTAAACAGTGAAATTAATATGCCTCAATAAATATATTTTTCATCCAAATAATGTATAATTAAATTTACATGCACTTAACATTTAGTATTATGATGATTTGTAATAGTCATAAATTTTAGCAGCATCTTCTATTTGTACTAGATTAAATCTAGACTCGTAGGGTTTTATCATGTTTAGATGATATATGAGAAAAATATAATATGTTTTTGTAATGACAATTTCTACAAAATGTTGATATTTTCCTTTTAACTATTAAGAGTAAAAACGAGTAACATAATTTTATTTATAGTTTTTCTGATTTAATAAACAAAGTCTCGATGCGGTTTTTCTTGACATTATTATTATTATTATTATTATTATTAATGCTTTATTTCAGTTATTATTTTTTTTAAAACCATAACATTTTGTTAGTAATAATTACTTATAATCTATGTTAGTAACTTAAAAAAATTAAATATATATAATAAATTATAAAATTTCGAAATTCTGTCTAGTAAAATCATAATATAGATATCCTGAAACTTCTACAGCCGATTGCATTCATGATTGGTTCATACGATATTTTTACCATGCGATTCATCCAAACTGCAATTCTCGGAATCATTACTTTTATGAATTACAATAAACATTATGAATATGTTTAATGATATCTGCTGGAGGATGTTTTTTCTTTTCGGGTTTCACGGGTCCTAGACATAATTTAAACTTCCTATTTTTACGATATAATTGGGCGTTTATTAGTGTTGTTATTTTATTTAAATTTTTAGCGAAAATTTTACGGTAGCCAGCACAGTAGTCATAATCGACGAATAAAATCCTAAACGGTGACTACCATGAAAATTGTAAAGTATTCCAAATGTCGGTAATAATAGAATGATAATATAAAACGCGAAATTATACCGTAATAGTAGTTTTAATTTTAATTTGACATAGTCGCGTTTATTCGATAGAAATATACTGGGCGTTTTACCTATAACGGGATGTATGACACGGACGTTACGAATAATAATACCATATTGTGTATTAGCTCGCAACAGTAATATCAAATCGTGGCCAAATAACCAATATTAACTCTGGAACGCAAACGTTGATATTACATGTTTAGATGACTTTCAACATTTCGCATTCTTTGTACGAGCATTTGTCAGTTCCGTTATCAAGTTTCCGTTTCGTTACAACGGTACGCTTGGCTCTGCTTTGGCATTGCTGACGTCCATGGGCGACGGTAAGCACTCAACATCAGGTGGGCCGTAAGCTCGTATGCATACAAGGGCTATACAATAAAAAAAAACAACTATCATTCGGGAATCAAGTTCGGGAATGTCGCCACGGCACGTGACGTGTTATCGAACTTGCACAGACTCATATAAACAAATTCCGTAGATTACTACACAATTCATTTCGCGGCACTATTTCAGAATTCGAAAACAGAAACAATTGTCAATGCTAATGACTTCAACATAATTGGTTGGTCCTGGCTCGTCTCCAAAAAGTCTTGAAGCAATATTAATAACCGCCCAAGCTGTTCCGGTGTTTGTATTGCCAAATGAGTTTTTGTTTGAACTCTTTGTATGTAGGAACGAAGCTAATTGGTTTTTTGAAAAGGAAGACCGATAAAAACAATTGCAACTAAATGACTCGTTTGTTAACTAAAACATTGTTTCTCTGTACCGTATTCAAAAATAAGCGTCTAATATTAATGATCAGAAACGAAGACGTCTTAATTATCTATATATTAATACGTGAAGCAAAAACTTTGTATCCTTTTTTACGAAAATTGCGCGGACGGAGGAGTATGAAATTTTCCACACTTATAGAGAATATAGAGGAGAAGTGCACAAAGCTAATTTTTTTTTTAAATAATGCATAAAAGATACATTAAATCAATAAAGAAAACATTACACACACTACATACCATGTATTTGACGGACACACGCATGCATACTATTTATTGTCAAACCTTTGTTCTTGACGTCTGTGGTCAAATTGAGAATAGATTAAATATTGTTTAACTTCGTAGTCTTGGCGAAATTTTTGATTATAGAAGTATAAAATACAATCATAATAGTGTACCAACTTAATATACAATCCCAATTAATTATAGTCGAATTCGACTACTGCGGGACCTCTAGTAAAGATAAATTATTTAATTTATAAAAATATCGCAACTCTTGTAAACAAGTTTTAGACAGAGGCTTAGCTGCATTTATTTGTTTCTGTATTCGAACGCTTACCTAAAAATATATTGGGCTTCATTTAGTTTTCTTAATCAACAAAGTTTCTTGATTTAATTGTCTCTTTCGTTAATCTTGTGTGATCCTAATTACTTTGCTACATCGTTCGGCCTCGATCCAATCTGAGCTACTTTTGTTAAAGACATTCGGTATTTGAGTACTGGGTATTTTTATTTTTATCGCGTACGCATGTATTTATGTTTCATTATCTACTAGCGACCAGTCGTCGCTTCGCTTCGGAAACTGTAATTTATTATTGATTTTCCCACTATTTAATGGATGTTATTATACACATAAATCTTCCTCTTCAATCACTCTATCTATTAAAAAAAAACGCATCAAAATCCGTTGCGTAGTTTTAAAGATTTAAGCATACATAGGGACAGAGAGATATAGGGACAGAGAAAGCGACTTTGTTTTATACTATGTAGTGATGACATACGAAATTCTAGCTGGATGAATTTTAATCAGAAATATTCGTGATATAGTTTTTTGTAAAAATCTATACAACAAATGTTTCTATATATAAAAAGACAAACACAGAACAATTAAGCATTATATTGTTTACTTCCGTTTTCGTGAGACTTAGACAAAATTTATCTTTTCTTTACGGTTTTATCTCACCTTCTTTGTTTTCTTTTCTTTATGTTATTTCCGACGTTTCAAACATTTTACAGTTTTAATTGAATTTATTTCAGTTATTATTATTTTATTTGGCAGTATTTTTTTTATTGCCTTTGTAGGCAGACG